AGAAGGTTTCGGTTTTGTACATTTCACCTTACAAGTAACCAAATTATGATCTGAAATATTGTCGGCTGATAGAATGCGAACATCCGTTATAACATTATTCTCTTCACGAGATAATATCAAGTCCAATGTGTGGCCCAGGCGATGAGTGGATCCAGATACATTTTGAATTAGATCAGTGGACTCAAGGAGATTTAGAAAGGAGGCAGCTTCAGGATTTGATAGATCATCAACATGGTAGTTAAAATCACCGGCAATTATAATGGGCTGCCTTGATAATGTAAGTTCTTCAAGAAAAGATGAGAATTCTTGCAAAAAGCTATTTCCAGTGTTGTTCTTTTTGCACAGAGGAGGGCGATAGAGAACAATTAAACGGAATGTCTCACTTTTGTTGGATATGCTCACATCTAAGTACTCAAATGAGCTTGTGTTCATGATGGAATTTCGCAGTACGGTATAACCATCTCGTATCAACAAAGCGACTCCGCCGCCCTTACGATTCCTTCTTGGTATGTGGTGGAGTTTAAAATGCGGAAGAATGTTGTTGATGTCAGTAATAACATGGTTGTCATCCTCGGTTCCTTTAAGCCAAGTCTCTGTTATGGCCAGGATGTCTAAATGGTGGGAGATGACCAAATCGCATAAATGAGTTGATTTTTAACAATCGAACGCACATTGAGGAGAGCAAAATTACTGGTGGATTTGGTTCTCGGTAGATGGCCAACGCGTGTGATAGAGATGACATTGTTGATGTTTCTTGAGTAAATTTTCTTTGATGGTCGTCGATGCGTAGAAACAATGGTTGGAATGTAATAACATTGAGAATCTTCGTTTTGAATAATTAAATCTTCCTTCGGTTGAGAAATTGCTCCAAGGTCAAATTGTGACAATAAGAAACCCATTTCAGGACCAGGGTTAGAAGCAATGGTTCTCGGTAGATGGCCAACGCGTGTGATAGAGATGATATTGTTGATGTTTCTTGAGTAAATTTTCTTTGATGGTCGTCGATGCGTAGAAACAATGGTTGGAATGTAATAACATTGAGAATCTTCGTTTTGAATAATTAAATCTTCCTTCGGTTGAGAAATTGCTCCAAAGTCAAATTGTGACGACAAGAAACCCATTTCAGGACCAGGGTTAGAAGCAACGTCACCAGCCAAAGTAAGACGAGCTTGGTTGAAGGTGGTAGTTGAGTTAGCGTAGTATTTGACTTTGGATGTGTTGTAACCTTTAGGTCGTAGACAAACAAAGCGAGGCCGATTAGTTGTTAAATAACGAGGTAGTAATACAGCAGGAATCCACTTGTTAGGATACAAACAATGATTCTTGCAAATATAATCCAAAGAGGAAATGTTTAGGCAATCCATATGTCGTTTTTCAATTGAAATAATATAAAGAACTGTGAAAAAAATAAAGAAAATCAAGCAGCGATATGAAGCACGTCCGTTACCCATAATTACCATAAAAAGTATGTTGGTCCAATAACTGTCGCAGAACCCTGTCATACTGATCCACCATCATATCTAAGTCAGTAGCTTGATCTTGTAACAAAGGAGAATCCATAATGTCCTTACAAAAGGAGTCCATATTTAAGGAGTGTAATTTCCGGACGTTTATCAATTTTTTTCTAAATTGAGGTTTCTGAATAGATAACACACAATGAATTGCAAGATGATCCGAAATAACAGCATCCTTAACTTTGGTATCCTTAATAAGTGAGTCATCTGATCCTGTAATGACTAAATCAAGGGTATGGCCATTGGTATGAGTTCCACAATTGACATGTTGTTTCAGATCATATGACTCAAGAAGGTCTGCAAACCGCTTGGTATTAGCATTGTCAGGATCATCCATGTGGAAACTGAAGTCACCCGTTATCAATAAACATCTCAAAGGCTCTTCAAAGAAAAGCAAACAGGAGTTGTTGTCGGGTGGACGATAAATAACCAGGATCCTAATACACTGAAGGCTTCTGAGACGGACATCCATGAATTCAAAGACTGAAAGGTGTCACAAATTGAGGAGTTGATATTAAGATTGTCTTTAAATAACACACCAACTCCTCCTCCCCTGGAATGAGATCTTGGAACATGTAGGAACCTATAGCCGGTAGGACACAAAGTTCCCACTTCAACATCATTGGTATTTCCAGATCGCAGCCATGTTTCTGCCAAAGCCATAATATCAATATCATTGTCCACAACATAGTCTTTCACTATCATCGCCTTATTCTGAACAGATCTTATATTAAGCAGGCAAAGCTGAACACAGCAGGAAATATAACTGCGAGATACAAAATCAGTTTGTCATTAAACATTTCTCAAGTTGTCCAAACCACACAATTGCGGTGAAATACGAGTGGCATTAGCAGGATAACAGTTTGTCGGACGTCGATTACCAATTACAACTGGAATAGCAGTGGGACCAGGATTAGTACTTACATCTCTGCTTTTAACTAGTCGGATCAACTGAAAAATAGCAGTTGAGTTATGATGATAATTCATTCTAGAGCGAAAGTAACCTTTTCCATGAAGTCGAAATCCAAGATGGCGGCTCGATCTCCATGTGGAATCCAGTCGTTTCAGGCTAGTTATTTCCCCCACAGAAGTTCCTGGACTGTTAAAGCCTAGCGGTGCACGGGAAGCACAATATAATATATTTCTAGATATAATTTCTTCTGGTTGAAAACCAAATAAAAGTAAAAAGATCATCAAAACTACAGAGGCGAAAGGGACACGTCTAACCGCCATGCTAACCGCTGACCCTTTTGCAATGAATTGTGTGGTGACCTCTAGACTTAAGCGTGTGAAAAAAGTATCAATGTAATAAGCCTGTCAACAAATAACATGATATATGATCAGTGTTGATTTTTGGAATTTAAAGGCAATTTCTTGTGAAATTTGTAAAGAAACATGTTTTCCTTGTATTTAGGAACATTGCTAAGTCCTCATCCTTATCTCAATTTCAGTTTATTATCTCTGAGAAATGCAGGTTACCTGCAATTTTCTTTTTGGATTGCATTAACCCATGTTAAGATTGGGCCTGCTTTTCTTGCATGGTCTTAATATACTTCATCATGATCTTAGTTACATGTCTTCATGCTTCGCTTCCTTTTGTCCAGTGTCATTTGAAGGTACTTCATTTTTATTCTTCACACTATTTTTCTCATTTTCTTTTAATTATTTTTTTGATGTAATATTTGTATTCCTCACCTGGTAGTGTGGATGACAGTTCGCCATCAGACTGCAAATCTGGGACATTTCCTTGGAATGTCACCTGTGGTAAAAATAAGGAAGGCCATCAACTGACCCAGAAGTAACAAGTCTGATTTCCTCACCATTAGTAGCTTCAAAATTAATGCTTAACCCTATGAATAAAACTAGCTCATAACCCAAACTGTTAACCTGGGCATAGAAAATGGATTGTCAAAAAGAGTAATGACCTAATTGAAAACATCACACTGAGTTGAAAAAAGTAGAATTACGTATATGCTTAATTGGATTGATTGATTGATTGATTAATTCTGCAGTATTTGAGACATAAGCTCTTAAAAATAAATGAAAAAATAAATCTTCTAGCAGGTGACAGTGAAAATTTTGAAACAATTTTATAAAAAAAGAATAATCAGTAATTTTATCCATTACAAGTAGTGTACACCAGCAGTTGTGGATACAAGCAGTAAATTGCCTGGCACAAAAGACTGTATTGGTGATTCTAGTTGTTTGGTTTACTTTTTCAATGATACACTTTCTTTTTTTCCGTGTTGATCACTTGTGCCATGTTGCTTCATATCAGCAGACACCTATAGGCAGATAATTTACTATAAATTGGCCAATCCAAGCATGCACTTTACTTATGTTGCATAGATAATTTTACTGAATGTAATGATTTTTTCCTAACCTTTGATCCCAGAAGTGATTCAATTTCTGCCTCATCCTCAATAAAAAGGATAAAAACAAAATGTTAACAGAATCAAGACAAGGTTTGATACTTAAATTCCACAGTTTAAGGTATTTAACAGGGTGGCTGTTTGAACATTTTACCATAGTGACTTTTAAATCTTGGGCAGGTGAATTGGTGGATATGCAAACAATGAGTGATTTTGTGTGCTAAGAACTACCAGGTTTTAGCACATCAGTTGTCATATTTTTGCTTAGGGTTAGAAATCATAATTGAAAGGGTATTTTGAAATTTAAATTCAAACATTTACCTTCTTAAAATAAAACAAGTATATTTTAGACTTGAATTCCAGGTTTCTAGTACTGTTATAATTTGTTTTATGTAATATTATTATTTACTTACTCTCTCGTAAATGTGCAAGACCTCTGTTCTCTCCAAAAGGTCTCCATGTCTTACCACTTCCCTACCTCTTTGGATAGTGAAATAAAGTGGTAGACATTCATTGGAGCCTGCCCAGTCATATGCCTCCTATATCATTAAAACAGGAAAAAAGTTTACATTAAAAAAAAAAATTATCAAGCAATCACTATATGTCTGCATTTTAGTACTTTTTAAAGCAACAAACTGTATCATTATATATATATATATATATATATATATATATATATATATGTAGACATGGAAGAAAGCACCCTTATTGAACTGGCGCTTTTCCTTGCCATTTGAGTGGCATAGGACAATTGTCACCTTTTCTCCTTCTAGATTGGGTTGGGTAACCCTGCCTTGTTGGGCCTCCCTTATTTTCTTGCTTGATTCTTTAATCTGATATAATAAATACATGACAACTCAATTAATATTTCGCTGAAAATGTATAAAAGATATTTAAATTTCTGCTGCTTAGTACTTTACTGGTAATAAGTATTATTTATGCTCCTAGAGTCTTGAAGGAAGTCATCTAACAAAGACCCTTATTTCATTGCTGGACTTTCTTGATATCATTGATATGGGCATTATCTTTGCAATATATTTTTTTGGGAAATGATATTTACCAATTTCTTCTTGTCATTCTCGATTGCCTTTTGCAATGAAATCTCCTGCTCCCTCTATAAGGAGTGTTCCTGCTCTAATCTCTCCCTGTTGGAAACAATAAATAGCCTGCTGTTACCATAAATTTGTTGGTAAATTGATAAGCCTCCCTTTCTATGTCAAATACTTGTTATTTAGTTTGTGTCACAGGTGATACCCTGGTGTTAGTACTGACCTCTTTTGATTTCCTTGTAAGTTCATGCTTAATGGCAGGAGGCTGGTAAGTATAGAAAGATCATGAATAACATCAAAGCAATTTTGATTGATTTTAACCGCCCTCCTCCTCCCTAATGATAATTACATCTATTATTGGAGTATGAAGGTTGTCATGGGGTACCAAATATAGCATAATGAAACATAACAGAGACAATGAAACAACAGAAAATACTGGTTAGCTCATTTCTGCAGAAAGTGAAACAATTTATTTGAAATACATCCTGCAAGGGAACAGGAGATCAACCCTATCAAAGTCCCTTAATAATGAAGAAACATATCTATGCACACACTCTTCCCATTACACAATATCACAATAAAATGGAAATATTATACTAAAATATTAATGTTTAGCTGGTTAAATTTTAGGAAAGTTTTTAAACTTTGACCTTTTGTTAAGTTTATTTGTCTTTTATCTCCAAAAAATTTAAAATATGGACAGTTATTCAATACCTTCTCTCCTAGATTTTGAGTTTGCTTTTGTTATCCAAAAGTATATGTTTCCATTAATTCTACATAGAATATTCAGAATTCTGATGATTTGATAAAGGGAGAAACATCTTTGATTAATAATTTAATCACTACATAATGTGAAATACAGTATGTGTGCATTGCACAATGGATATGGAAAATCCTGAATACCTCTGTGATGTTTATTGAATGATCTTTGTGCTTTGAATTTTAACATAATGTATGATTGTAAACATAGAAACCAGTCAGTTGGGGCCACTTTCATTCTTAAAAAATTGTCATGTGGGCCAACTAATGCCAAGAGTGTGTGAATGAAAGTAAAGGTATCTGTTTCTCCTTTTTTCTTTTCACTCATAGTAACATGAAATTGCACTTGTTACTCATTAAAAGATAATCACTGGTTATATTATTTTTGTTTTGTTTTTTTTGTTTTTCTTTTTCTTTTTACCTAATGAAGGGCAAAAAATTGTAGTTTTGGATTTCAATTCCTGTTTTGTCTGTACTTAAACAGTTAATCTACCAGTGCTTATAGTCTACAGTGAAATGTGAACTGGGGATTAATAAAAGCTTTTTCAAAATATATTTAGCTGAAAATATGAAACAGATAGCAACATAAGATATAAGGAAGCCTGAGTCATGCATTATAAGCTACAATGCTGCTTTTGGCAAGATATTATTTTGTATCTAGTGGAAATTTTTCTATTGTCATCATCCAGGGAGAGCCGTGCATCAAAGTGCATTGAATTATTGACAATATTTCCAACATACTTTGAGCATTCTGATTGAGAATTCCCAAAGAACTCGTGTCCTCTTCTACAATCCCAGCTGAAATGAAGTGGCATAAAATTAAATGAATATCAAGACATTAGTTATTGTGCATTCCTTTATGCCATGAAACTGAATGAGTGAGTCAGTCTGTCAGTCTATATCACACCATACTGTAGCATAGTAGAATGTCCCATTCTCCATTTACATGAGACACAGTTGTTCATCTCTTGAATTTTGATTAACACATTAAGTAATTAAAATTATGTTAAAGTTAATTCAACATATTGTGTTTTATAATCCATTTTATAGAAACGTGCCTTTTTGCCACTGATGTATGCCAGTTAAATGACATGCTATGTTGAAAGGGAAAAAAAATCATGGAGTAAAAATTGTCTTTTTTTGAAAATTAATTTCTTTCATTTCTCACATTAATTTGGTTGATTTACTTCACACCTCATGTGTAAACTTGGCTTGGCCTAGGGTGCACAATTAAGTTGCCTCTTAAATGGTAATTTATGATACAATTGGAAATCATCCATGTAAACTACCTGCAGTAATAAACTAGATTTCTAGCATAATATACATGCGGTTTTCATTGCCACCCCAGGGATTAATCCAAATCAGGATTGGGGTTGGGGTCTGCAAAAAAACGAGCATTTAAATGTTCTTTAATCAGTCATCATCATATTACCTGAGTCAACATTTACTGAGTTACTAGCTAAATAGCTTCTGTCAAGTTCATTGTCATTGACATCATCTAAAGCAATGACACCATCTGTTCAAAAAACAACACAACAGTTTCAGGTGAATCACACGATAATTATCAACGGCAGATGGGTCACCTACTTCCACACAAGATGCAAATACAGGTTTAAAATATATTAATCATTAATAAACTTAATAACTAATGAGCAATCAATTAAGCACTTACATTCACTTGTAGGCAATGTCAAGTCCACCAGACTAACAACACCACTTATCACACTTGTTGCACCACTGGAAGTCTCTGGCTGGATGACTGAATTGGTCACACTTGTTTGAGATTGGCTGGGATTTTGGTGAGTGGTAGATTGTTGAGAAAAGCAAGGGAGGGTTGGAATTAGGCTGAGCAGGGAGAAGGGAGGGTTGGGAATGGTTTGTGGAGGGCAGGTTGGAATTGGGCTGAGCAGAGGGGAGGGAGGGTTGGGATTGGTTTGTGGAGGGTGGGTTGGAATCAGGCTGAGCAGGGGGAAGGGAAGGTTGGGATTAGTTTGTGGAGGGTGGGTTGGAATTGGGCTGAGCAGGAGGAGGGGAGAGTTGGGATTGGCTTGTTGAGAGATGGAGGGAAGAAACATCAAAATTAGGATTTGTTTGAAGAGATGGAGAAGGATGGTTGGGATTGCTTACTCCTGGTGTTGGTATAGACTGAGGGTTAGTGTTAGATCCTGAGATAAAAAAGGAAACAAATAATTTTTAATTAGTGTTTTGAATTATTAGTGAAATAGTGGAAATATGAGCTTATCGCAAGTTTTCCTTTGATAAATCTATGACATAAATATTAAAAATTTTGAAAGGCAAAGAACCTTCTTAAACTTGCAGTGCAATCCATGGTAATAAAAATAAAAAAGGATTAATATTTAAAAGTCATAATATCAAGATTTAAATTTCTCAGCAGAATAATTGGGTTATGTTGTTGCATATGTCTGCCAAAGAAAATTGTCTTTTTTTAAGTGTGGTGAAAATGCATTCCCACTTTCAGGAGGCTATTATTTCCAAAATGTACATGTTCCATTTTTTTTTGTATGTGTGTAATTGAAATTCTAACAGATATTTGTTGGTGCTGTGGCCATATATTTTACTCCACTGCACTTATATCCATGTCAACATGCAAATTAAAACAGCCTTTGCAGCACAGTTATCTGGAAGCTTTGGCAAAGATGGCCTTTACCATCTTTACCCATGAGTCATGCTACATAAATGTGTATGCGCTCAAAACCCGATAAAACTGAAATTTGTTAAAAGAAAAGTCTTCAACTGTTCTATGAACCAACTTAACTAAAATCTCATAAGGATTGATAATTCCTTATTTTTTAATGTTGATGACGACACGTGAAATGACGCTCTATGGGGTGGGTCTGAATTTTTTTTCTTGAAAGACGGATTCTTTCCGCCCACAATTGCATGTGTTATAATAGGTACTACTTTTGTATATTATGAGCAGATTTCACACCTTTACAGGCCTTACAGTGGCAGCAGGTCCACTGCTCATACTTAAGTTTTAATGAATGATCCCTAGCAAATAGTTAAAGTATAAGCGGTAAATTACTAAAGGCTGTCTTGAATCCTACGTCACGTGGCTGGAATTTGCATTGTTTTGCCTTACCTGGTTTTTACATTACTATAAACTTATCCGTCTACATCCAGTATTCAATGCATACAACTTGCAGGCGAGATTAAGTGCTCTGGTACTTATCCTACCTATTCAAGTCAACTGCCGCAAGTCCAGCAAAATTTTCCTTCACCAGCTCTTTCATCTTTGCACTCGAATAGTTTCCTCCAATTGCGACGTCTTTAACCCTGCCTCCACGATTCAGCAGTACCCACGGATTTCCACGCGGTGTACATTTTGCCTTCTCTTTCAGCCATATGAAGACTTTATTAGTTGACCTCCCTTTCGGCTGCGGTGACCTGCAATCGCTAGCAGAGCTGGAATCGCCTGAATCTCCCATGTTTGATAACACTTCGTCAACTCAGTCAACTTGCACAACAACAGCCTTTAATTGATGAAATCAGAACAAACAGGCCCTCTTTGTTCTGCTGTAGAAGCACGAGTCCGGCATGTGAATACGACAACCGAGACCAATCAACTTCATTGTTGGGGGAGGGGCGCCCCCAGTGGGATATTATACCAAAAGACTATTTCCGCTATCACATCAATATTGTGTATAGGGGTTTAAGTTTTTTATTCCTTACTTTTCGATTGCTCAAACGAAGTAAAAATCACAGTGGTTTGGAAAAGGAAGATGGTTGGTGGTGGAAATATCGACCAATCAACTTCATTATTGGAGGGGGGCCAGTGGAATATTATACTAAAACGCTATTTCCGCTATCACATCACTATTGTATATAGCAAAGGTTATGAGCGAAGAAACCCAAAGCTTTCCCAAACCACACAAGAAGTTGCGTCAGTTAGGGGTTCAAGTCTGTTCACAGTTTTTTTTTTATTACTTACATTTCGATTGCACGAATGAATTAAAAACCGCAGTGGTTTGGAAAAGGTCTTCCTCTGTTGTACTACAGAATATGGCAATAATTAGCACTGCTAAAGTCTGGGTGCTTAATATCAGGCGGCTTCAAATTCACAGCATTTTTCTTTTTTTATTAAAATGAACTTGTTTGTTGTTGTTGTTGTAGCTATCATTGTTATTGTTACTATTGCTATTATTATTATTACTATTATTATTATCATTGTTTAATACTAACCTTCGCCTTATGATTGAATTTGCTTTCATTGCACTTCACCAATGCTGGGCCACCAAAGGGGATAAACGGGTTGTCAGTGATTTCCTGGGAACACACACCCTCCAAACGTCTGAATATAGTGCATACCAGATTTCTATTCATGGTCATCATTCTTGATGTTCGTGTTCATGATTCATCGATAGCAGCAAAATTAGTGGTGCGTTGGCCACCCTGTAAGTTGAATTGAACACGTGACGAAAGAAACAGCATCTTCGTAAATAAGTTAGTGAAAAGAAACTTTACTGAAGAAAACTTACAATTTATTCCATGTATGTTTGTAGATAGCTATAATTAGTTTTATAATTAAATCTTGCTCTTTTTCAATCGGGCCCAAGTCTTCCTTTGCTCCGATGATTTGATCCTCCATAAGTGTTTCACATTCGGTATCAGACTCCCATTGCTCCGTCCTCGTTTAACAAAACAAATCTGATAAAAAAGGGTAGATTAATTAGTGTTTAGAATTTGATAGAATGATGCTGTTTTGAATATTGCAAATAAACAGTCGATAACTGAAAAGTTATAACTGAAGGTTTGGATTAACGATTTAAATAAAAAGATGTCTATACTGCCATTGCTAAGTTCTGCATTCATGAATGACAAGTTGATTTACCATACTACCATTTCACTTAATAACAGTCAGGGTGGGAGTGCCTTTTGACTTTCATACCTCGTTTGAACTGTGATTGGCGAAGAGCCAAACACTGCATTTAGAAACAGCCTATTTTGGCCAGAGGTCCTCTTCAACAGGCACCGAAATGTGTGACTTCCAAACCCAAATAGTGGACTTGAAATATCCTCTGGAATTCGGATTGACGACTTCGGCACTGTCCATCGGTAGCACTTTCACTTAGGCAACTCCCTTTTCACGGCAACTTGAGACTGCAAATAATAATAATAATATTTAGAAAAACAACGATAATATTATTGTTATTATTATTATTATTGAAAATAAGAAACAAAAGCAAATAAAAACGAAAACATCGAAATTCTAACTGAATGAAAAGTGTCTCAATTGTTATACTTGAAAACGAGTCTTTCCTAAATGAGATCAACAAACCTTGTCATAAATCGCGCGCTGAAGACTTTCAACTTGACTCTTAAGTAGCGCCTGGTGGCTTCCTTGATAAAGTTTGTTGTGGGCAATTTCCATCCCTAACTGGTAGAAATTGTTACAATCGGCCACGCTGCATTTCATCATTCTTTTCGGACATTCGTCCAAATGAAGGTGAACATGGGACCTGAAATAGACACACATGGATCTTACGTTATCGGGCTTCTT